AAGGTGGGGATGAGAGTAGGTAGATGGGAAAATAGGAATAAGGGTGAGCTGTTCTACTGCAGCGAAAAACCTTGAAATTTTTCAAAGTATCTTTCACCTCTTGATGAGGAGATGTGAGTAAACTTTTGTCAGATGGAGGATCCACAATATTTTGAAGGTGTTTGACTGGAGAAAGTAATAGAAAAACTCTAGAAATTTCACTGTAAGCTTAGATATCCTATATTAATTTCCCTTTACAAACTTAGTATTCAAGTTAGTACTCAGTTTAAATTTGAACTTATCTTTTTTTTTTTTAACATAAAAAGGAGTCTTTTGTATGAGCTGTCACTGCAGCATAATTTATCCTGCATTTTTTACAATGTGCATTCAGTCGCTTTTCATTTTTTACTTCCAAGGGTTAATTATAGTTTTAAAGTCTTTTGTATTCTTACTCCTCCATGGCTACATAATTAGAGTTTATAATGAATAATCTCTGAGTTGTGATTGGCTAAGGTGGCTTCTCATAGTTAAAAGATAAACCTGGAAATAGAAAGCACATTGCTTCCACGTTATTTAGGAAAAATTAGTTTCACATTGTTTAGCCATCTGAAAAATAAGTGTCTTGTCCACAAGGCACTTCCTGTGATCAAGGAAAGATACGTGATGGATAAGGATAGTTTACCTCCATCATTTTTATACCTGAATCAGCATCACAGGAATCTCTTTCCATTGCCCGTTAGAGGCATTCTAGAGAAGTAGTCCTGAGAAGTTTTCAAAGCCTACAATTGTTGGTCGACTCAAACACAAGAGTTTCTATATGTCTCCATTTGCTCTTGAGTATGTAACTGAGTGTCTTGCTCCATCTCATCCACAGTCCTGAGAACCCTCTGACATTTGACACACATACTGATACCTTGATACAGCTATTCTCTGCAGGTCCCAAAACCCTACTGTCCTCTCTGCCATGTCAGACCTGCCTTATGGCTTTGAACAGAACCTCGCCCAGGTTTGTGTCTTAGAGGCTGTTATCTGTCTGTCCTGGGCTCAGAGCAAGCAAGCCAAAGTAATTTGGCAACTCTCCAGCTTGGAATAGGAGTAGATATATGCCTTACCTGAGATCCCTTGTATGTACCTGTGTTTGCGCAGCAGAAACTAAACTAAACTAAATGAAAGTTATTCTTCTTATTGATAAACCAAATTCAATATATGATAGCACATGGCCATTATGACTCCGTGATAAAGGCAGAGTCTCATATTCTGTTGATTTAAGCATAAAGACATTTATATTTATGAAAGAAAAGAGGTAATGTTATTCTTACAACTGAACGATTTCAAAATCAAAACATCTCATGCAAATAATTTGAAAGTATCAAATGAATTTACTTTATTTTACTTAGTCAAAACACCTTTCAGTCCTAACAAAATGACACATTACAAGCTTGTTACCCTTCTGTCTATTGAAGGAAGATGAGTTGTCTTCAATGTCAAAGTCAAATCATTCTCATATTATTTTACCCAGTAGTCCCTACAAGGACCTTTAACTTTTTCAGACTAGATCTTGACTGGAGCTCCAAGTTTTCTCCGTTTTACTGAAAATACCGAAACCTTTAGTTGTCTGTATACATCTTGAGCATTTACTTAATACTTGCTAGAATATTTTCCTAAAATAAGGACACCCAAGCATGTATTTAAGTGGGATGTTGTTTTTTTTTTTTTTGATCTAGGATGGCAATGGTGTGTGTTCTGCAGAGCTGTTTCTCAGAAGTAGAGTACAGATTAATATTCATGCCTAAAGAAAGGAATTCTTATTTAGGTAACATCTCAAGAGACAGTCATGAAGGTTACAGTGCTCTGTGCAGTACTGCAGGGAGAAGTTCCCTGCAGTTAATATATAAAATATATAATATATAATAATATATATGTTATATATTATTCCAGTCTGTGTGAAGTAGACTTAATTTCTGGCCTGAGACTGGTCAAGGCTTTTAGTGACCTTTTCCTCTCCTTAGAGTAATTGTGCATGGACTATGATCTCAGTCTGTCTGGAGATGTTGTTGTTAATATTAAAAATACTTCTAGGAGAATTTGTAAATAGCTTTAGGCAAACCAATAGCAGTTTTTCATCAGTATTATCTGTTTTATTTTTATGAAGGCTATAGGTCTCATCTAGCAGTGTTACTGCCTTTGTGTGACCCATGGTACTTATGGAACTTATTGCTAGCTGACACTGATTTAAATGAACAGGTGCAGACAAGAATTTGTAACTTGTTTCATTGTGAAAGCATTTTAGCATTGTTAAAATGTTACGTATACATTTCTTTCTTGTTGGAAATGCTTAGGTATTTATTTTATTTTTTTTCCTGGAGAAAATTAAATTATTAATTTAATTATTTTAAAATTAAAATTAAAAATTAATTTAAATTCCTTACTTAAAAAACTTTCTCTTTAAGATAATTTTTGTAGGAGATTCAAAAAAAAATAAATATTTAGAATAAAAATATTTTCAAAAAGATTTACAAATCTGAGTGATACTCTTATCTTAAAAAATTTATCACCATGCAAAGAGAACCAACTACTTCAGCCTTCCTTTTGGGGTTGTTTTGTGTTCTTAGAGTTGTGGAAGAGGTCCAGCTTAGTTCATATCAGAGACAGTTTATACTATGGAGGGATTACAAAGCTTTAAATTTTGGGGGGGTTGCCTTTTGATCTTTTTTTAAAAATCATTTCAGTGGGTGATCTTTCAGGACAAGAAGGATTTAAAAAGCAATATATTGATAATACTGATTATTCAACTTTTATATTTTGCTTTTTATTAGTAAACTGTGAAGAAATTTTAAAAGGAGAGGTTTTTTTTATTATTATTATTAGCGAAGACCTTAAGGAGGGATTGTGAGCATGACAGACCCTTATTTTTAAGAAGTATGCCAGTTGAAATAATTTCCACATCCAAACCTTGTTTTTCTTATCACCTTAAACTTTATACTAAATAAAGAAAAAATATCGGTGTGGAGATGTGTCTCTGTTGAAGCCAGAGATCAAATTATTAACAACAGAAAGGATATGATTCTTTGTTTCCAGTGCTTCATGAAATGTCCTTTAAGCAGAGAAGGTCTACATTGATTTTCAACAGGAATTCATGTTCATGTTCACAAAGTACTACACTGTGAATAACAAGGTCTTGACAGAATTGACTCCTAGAATGATATGGTAGATTATCCCCAAAGATACTGTATGTGTTTCTCCCATACACATTTATATTCCTCAGATGAGAACAGAATGATTTTGCCCTCTCATAATTTCACCTTGTTACTTTATTACTTTTATATACCAATTGTATGGTTCTTGTATGAAAAATTTTCTGACACGACTTTTACCAGTGGTGCACAAGAGTTTTCCCACTTACTGAAGATTATTCCCTTTGTGTAATGAAAAGCAATTGCAGTCTTTTTAAAACAACGATCTCTTGTACTGAAGAAAATGTAATGATTATAGCTCTAACTTATTCAAAATGAAAAGCTATTTTAAGCTTTTTCAAACTTACTTATGTCTCTAAAACTTTAGTACTTGGTCAAAAATGTATACCCAGATTTTGCCAAGCAAAATTAACATTTTTACTACCTATTCTCTAGCACATAATTTTGCAAGTTTATTGATTTTTAATCCACTTTTAAATTTCCATTATCCATGCTATTGCATAAGGAAAAAAACCCTGTTTTCTTGAGCTGTAAACCCATGCATGGATCTTTATTATCCATTAGATTTTGGATAATGCTTACTGTATATGGTTACAGTCTCCTTTCTGTCTTGAGCAGAGAGTGTGCAGTGATCTTCTATAGGAGCTCTGAAAGCACTCCCACTGTTCCAGAGAAAACAAAATGTTAAGTACCATGTAAAAAATGAAATTATTTAAGAAGGGTGTTTTTAGCATGATGCTGTCCTGCCACAATCAGATAATTATCAACAAAAAATCCAAAACCACATGACAGCATTTCTCATAAGAGTCTGCATTGTGTGTCCATTCATCTGAATATTAGGATGTTCCCATCTGACACACAGTGGGACTGGGACCTCCTTGCCAAAACAAGCAATTAGAACTTGTGTCTAACATGGGTTTATCGCACCCTGGTGAGTACAGTAACCATGGATAATCCCCACAAAAATGCAATGCTGGCTCTACAAAGAGCAGTTCTAGCATTTTGTATTTTAAGAGATTGCCTGCCTCTTGCTGGAAGGACTAGAAATCCATATAAGAAGGATCCTACTTTTCATTTTGTTCATGGGCTTTATCACCTTTCTGCTAGTTTTCCTGTGAGGCTACAGGAATGGCATGCTGCTTCTCTGCTGCTGCTGCTTCAGGAAGACTGCAATTGAAACTTGGGTAAAGTCAGCTGTAGCTTTGAAATCAACAGCTGAATATGAAAAGCCTGTTACTTTTTCATTTCATCCCAGCTCTTTACAGGGGGATTGGACTAGGTGGCCTTTAAAGTTCTCTTATAACTCAAATTATTCTATGACTTTAAAAATTTATGTACTGGCTGAGGTATTTGGTAATTCTTTTGCTTTTCATTTAGATAAATAATGGTCTTTATTTTTTTTCTGTAGGGAGAAAAGGGCGGAAAGAGCTGCTTCTTTTGTTTCATATTTTAATAATGGAAATGGTTATTCTTTATTTCCAATCTTTTGGTCATATTTTACTAGACGAACCCATCTGAGTACCTACTGGATTACAATCATAAAATAATTGCAAACACTCTTGAGAAATGTGATGCTCCAACAAATTCCAGAATGCTATTGCACCAAAGCTAAACAAATAATTAAATGAATCACTATTCCCACCTACCACTCATTGCACTGTTATTGCATAATAAACCCATCTGAGTGCAAGGAGAAAAATTAAAATCTGGAGAGAAATCAAGTCAATATGCTTGAAATGACTAGAATTCATTTGAATAGAAACTAAAGCAAAGAGGAATGATGGTGGTGATCAATATCAGCATAGAAAATATCTTTTATTACACCTGTCCTTGCTGCTGTATTGCCTTTCCACTGGAGCTAATTCCAGGTAGCTTCTTATTTATCACTAGTAGCTGGAATCCTCCATGAGATCATTTTCTTCTACCGATGCTACTGAAACCTCTGCCTTCAGCCTCAAGATCGGAAAGAAATAAAAGAGTATGACTGTGCAAGAGAGGTGTGAGATGGGGAGTCCTAGCACCTGAACTCTGAATCCTTCTCCCTAACATGCTTGCCTTTAAGATAAACTTTTTATTTTGCCCATCTGTACTAACAAGGCCATTTGAGGAGTGGTAGGGTAGTGATCACAGCTCTTAATGACTTGGTAGAATTAGGGGTCCTTGATATCTTCCAAATCAAGTTCACAGATGCTGGAATTATGGGCCCCTGAGCACAAGAAGAGAAAATTACCTGGTGCTGTAAGGCACTGTGTAGTCCTGGTCATGGAGCCAGACAAGGTCATAGTTCCAGCTTCTCCCCGTCAACCTTGTGGCTGTAAAGTGATGCAACAGGAGTCCTACAGATACTGCTTTGGTATTAGATTTTAGAAAACAGTCACTTTGCCTCTGAGCTGCACTAGCCCTCCCACAGTTTCTTTATTTCCCACCACTCTATTTGCCATCTCCACCAGGAGAGGCGAGGCTAGTCCTTGCAGTAGAACAGGCAGATCCAGTATCACCTGGTATGAGAGAGGGAGAAGTGAAGGCTTGCCAGGGCAAATAGCAAAGGACTGCACAGGACCTGAAAGTAACTTGTGACATGAGTGTCTGCTGTGGAAACAAGAGTTCTCTTCATTTGCATCAGGCTGATAAATAGGAATTTTCAATTGGTTGTCCCTCAATTCATAATGGAGGGACTGTTGCAGACTGAACAGAACTGTAATTAACAATTTGTTACTCAAGCGTGTAATAGTGGCATGAAGGTTTCTAGGTGTTGACAGTGATGTTTTGTATTTGTAAAGTATCTTACAAAACCCAGGCACTTATTGCTCACAATAGAAACCTGAATTAGTGCAACCACACAACAGCCATAATCTTCATCCAAATAATTGCCATAAGCAGTGCTTCTTAATGGGAGAAAATCAAGGAATATATTTTTAAAGTTTGCATAAGATCAACCATAAGCTGCTCATCTAAATTTTCAGTAGTTTTATTTTAACAGAATGGTGCAGAGTGGCATATCAAAACATGTAATACTATATACTCTGTTGAGTAACATCTGGTATATCTCAGCCTTGTAGCTGTCACAACCATTTCCATACCCCCAAACTAGAAATATATTAACTCTGTTTTAACTTAGCATTCCAAGAATGGATAAGACACATTGTATAGATCCAACATAATTTGTGGAACAGAAGCAACACAGGGGTATGGTGCTATAAAACTTTCCAATAAAATGTAACATTTGTATATTTTGACAGCGGTGACAGGATAGATGCAGGAATTAACAGTCTGTGGCAGAAAGTAAAGAGTAGATGCAGTCTGAAATTAATTAACAATATCATTATTTTGATCAGCCATTAAACTGGAAACATGTATAAGAAAAATGAAGTCTGTGTAAGAAAAAAGATGACAAGATATGCGTCAAAGCCTGAACTTTTGGCTGCTGTAGTTTCACACAATAACTATGTGTAGAACAAGAAGTACTTTAATATTCTGGATATTTCAACTGAAAAATAAAAACCATAAAATTATATTCCATGCATCATATCATGCATGGAATATAATTTTAATAATAGAAAAAATTAGAAAGCTGAATAAAGGAGAGGTTTGACACATTATTTGCCAGTGACTATCTATCAGTGAAGTACTGAAAACATTTTTTTGTACAAAGAAAGTGAACCATTTCCAGCATATTTCTGTGCTGGATAATGTCACATTTGCCTGAATAAGTTACTATTAGGCTCTGTCTGGTTTGACAAATGTATTTAAGATGTCAGATTGTGTCTAAAGGTAGCCAGTCACTTCTTTTTTTTTAGTCCCAAATTACACTTGACATTTGTTGTTAAACTCAATGTCCCTCCCTGCAAAACCGATTCACTCTTTGCAATTGTGCACTTTCTACTAACTAATCAATAGATAAGCAATTTACATGGCCTTTGGCTTCTAGTTCAGTCACTACCTTTTAGCAGAAATCACTGCCTTGGAAGCAACAAAGACCTTTAGAAGGATTGAAACAGTCATACATAATTAAGCTTTTCTGCCTGTATATTTATGCTTTGATACCAACACATAGAGAAAAAATTAAAATCTGTAGGGATGTTGCCCCTTTCATTTTAAAAAAAGTACTGTTTTCTGTTTATGTACTTTACTTATGGACAAAGTACTTCTATACTACTTGACTAGAGAGAGCTAGGAATAAGACAGAAGTCAGTGGAATGCTTGTAGATAATGTAGTAGTGCTAACCTCCTTGTAATTCTCTAGGCAGCTTTGAATTTATTCCTTGCTGTGAATTAATGGATTTTGTACTGGGATATTGGTCAGGATTCACTGTTTCCAGATGCAAATGGTTGCTGACTACTTGCTACTTCTCATTTGTGACCCACAGGAAATTGCAGTGTGAAAGTGCATCAAACTCATAAAGATATAGCTTTGAGAAGGGTGGAGGAAGAGAGAGAAAGGATGATTCACATTCTCGTGTCTGGTATTTCCTGTTGCTAACAGAAGACCAAATAAATTTGTCTTTCCCGTTCAAAGCATTTAGTGAGGTCTGAAGAATAGCATAAGGTAAGTTGTACTGTATCCTATTCATAATATTTTCAAATAACAATATTATTTCTACAATGATGAAGTTGGGTGAGATGTCCACCTACAATGTATTTGATTTCTCCCAGAATTACAGACATGTCCCTTCAATTAGCCTCATGAAGAAAGCCTTCTGCATCAATTGTGGAGTAGCAGCATTCAATTGTTTCTTTACTGTGAGGGTGGAAATAGTTTCCATGAGTCAACAAACAGGTATTCCCCATACTCTGAAATTATTGCACCCTCCAGAAAGATTAAATACTTGACAAAACCTGCTTGAGATCAGTAGAGAACTGAAGCTTTCACATAATACAAGCTGAATAAAAGCAAGTGGGTAAAGGGAAAGATCTTTGAAAGAAAGACATCATGTTGTAAGTTGGACATTGGAACAATGAACACTGCATAAGATGCAGAAGTTGTTTTTGCATGCCGGTCCTTCTTTCCCCATTGCTTTGCAGTGTTGTCCAGTCTCATTCATTTGGTACTCTCATTCAGGATCTTTTTTGTTTTTATTAAAATATTCAGAGACTTTCCTGCATTGCAGTTAGTACCTTTGACATGTTAGATATAATATAAGGAGCTCTTGAAATCCTTTTGAGACTTGTTACCATCTGTCAATCATGACCATGATAAATCTTCCTACTTAAGGCAGTTTAGAACTTTTGAATAGGTCACTTGAGCTTACAGCCTCTTTTTAAAAATGCCTAAAAGGAAAAAAGTCTCATTCCAGTAGATTTTTAAGGAGCTTTTGTCTATCTCAGTTGCTGTCATGAAGCCACTGGGCATATTCTTCTTTGCATTTACATTGGGCATTGGATGACTAACCTAGACACTGTGTTTTTCAGTGGGGATGAAGCTGCCAAATTCTGCAGTGATAATCTGGTCTAACAAAGAAGGTAAATGCTGATTTAAGATGGAGCAACAAACCAGACTGTTTTCATGAATGGATTTTGCATTATTTAACTGAAGCATGAAGTCTCCACTCTTTTGAGTTAAGGAAAAGCTAAGTCATGTTAAGCAAGAAACTAAAGGTAATTGATGTCACTCAGTAAAGTATTTTATCCTTGTTCTAACCAGGTGCTGAAGGTGACAGGTAATTTTGTACATAATTATCTAGTGAAAACCAAGTACATGGAAATCTATGTGACCGCAAGACATATTTCATCTTTAACCATCAAAGCTTTTGACAAATACATAACTAGTTATTCTGTCTGTTAGTTGTATAAGACTTAAGACATGCATTGGGGCAAGAGTATAACCTGATATTTCTGCATTACAAAAGCAGCATATTTGACTTAGGGTACTACAGATATGATACCAGTAAAATACATTTGGAAACCTGGAATCACGGAGAACAGATAGCAAATAATTTCTGTCTGAAGTGAATTCAGGTGATGATCCTGCTACAACAAGAGCCTAACACTGTCACGGGTGACAGCGGGTCTGTCAGCACCTTGGCACATACTGATGAAGCAATAGATGTTGACCAGATCAAAGTATACCCCTGAGATGGACTGAAAAGAGAGGACTGAAAATGGAGGCCCTGATCCTGACAACATACTGATGCATCCTGAAGAAGCTGTCCTGTGGGAACAGAGAACACTGTCTCATGAGAACAGGAGCACTGTCTCATGAGAACAAGGACCTGTTTTGAACGAGAGTGGTTGGGAAGAACATCAACATGAGAGAAAAATAAGAGCAGGTGCTCGGGACTGTTGTGGGAAAGAACTGGGCTGTTTTGAGAAAGAGCAAAGTTGTTGTGAGAAAGTAGAGTTTAGAAAATGCACCTATTAGCTGTAAGAATTCTGGTGTGAAAGTTTGAACTGTCCTATCCGTGTGCATTACGTGTGTTCAAAAACTGTACTTAAGGGGCTGCGCAGCAGCCCCGGGGTCCCTGCTTTTTTCTTGGAATAAACTTTGCTGGAACCTTTTTTCGTGTTGCTTTGGCCGTTCTGACATTATCAGCGACATCACACAGCACAGCTTGCTGCAGTGCCACAAAAGAACTAAGTGTCTGCAGTAGAAGCAATCATCATCTAATAAAGAGGATATGGTAAATTTTATGAATAAAAATGTGTATATAAGCTCAAGGTTATTATTAACAAATTGACTGACAAGTGCATTTTTTTCTTTTGTTCCCTCTGGGAAACACAGTCATGGCATGTCTTTGGTTACAGGTGGTATGAAGTGAAAACCAAATGACTAGAACAAAGTATAAGTCCTTTCGGCCACTTCTGTCATTCAAATAAACCCTGAACAATTACAGGACCAATTATTCAGTTGATTATCTATAAGAAAATACAGACCTTTCTCTCATCTGGGAGGTCATTGAGAGATGATGCACAGCATCACGTTAGAGCACCTCTGGGGCTTCACATAATAGCTTGTAAGTTAGCAAGGATCCTTTCTGAGCTCAAGAAATCCTAGAAACTGATCAAAATCCTCCTGCTTTGAGGTAAAAAATGCATGCATTTTTTTTTCTCTTCTGTAAATATTTTGTCATTAATTTTAAGAAAATCTAATCTCTAAAAATAATTTCAGGAATATTGTACATAGTTGCAATGATTTTGTGTAAGTCCTCTTGTTTTGCAAAAAACCTTAGATATTATGGTGATTTGTTTTGCCTTAGAAATGTAAATTTTGCAGAAATATATTGACATGTTTAGCATTGTAACAATGTGTGGCCTAGTTTAGATTTGGAACACTATTTGAGCAATGAAAAAACTGGAAATACTCGTGTAGAGCAACAAGAGCTGCAAATTATCTTAATTTTGTTGAGAGGATAAAATAAGCCTCCCGTAGCTTTACATTGTTCTGAGGTTTGGAGTTTTGGGGTTTTTTTGTTTGGTTTTTTTTTATACTTAAGCAAATATTCATCTACAAGTAGAAGTTTCATTGCACTGTTCTTCCCCTAAGAATTGGAAATGGATATGGAAGTCATGCACTCCCCTAAAAGTTGGCATAAGGTATAATATATGGGTGAGAGAGTGGTGGATTAGGTCTAATCTCTGTGAAATGCTGCATCCCTATGGTTCCTAGGAAGGAGTTGTGTTATCTTTTCTTTGTGCCTTGTCTCACTTCGAATGGCTTTGTTGTCTAAGTGCTGCCTGTTTCTGTATTCCTTCCCTCCTCCCAGACTCTCAGCTTAGCTGCAAGACTGGGTGCACAGAATCTTTACAGTGGATTTGAACTGTTGTAGCTAATCTTCCAGCCATGGAGATGGGAGAGTGCCATTTCCTTCCTAGGCACAAATTGAGTCCAGATCTCAACCATGGCAGATACACCTGAGCTCAAGGTATTAGAAGTGACTTTTGGATTCACAAAAGCAGCTATTGCCACGAGCACCAGTCTTGTCCTTTGCAGCAGGTTGGTGTCTGTGGTCTGGTGTGCTGTTGCTGCTGCTGACTGTGATTCTTTGACTTGTGATTTTCTAGGAATTAATCACCATTAATTATGTAGCAAATCATCACTATTTGCTTATGAAGGTGAGGCATCATGGCGTGCATTCAGCCCTGTGTATTAGAGGACACACATCATTCACCTTCATTAAGAATCTCCCAGCACTTGCTAAGAGTGAATAAAAGCATCAAAGCTTGGTCCTTCTCCAGTTGCATGCTGACATTAAATGTTGCCAAGACAAGCTCAAAGGTTAGAAAGCATTTCTGCCTGCTGTGGTATATTGATCTTGTTTTATGTTGTTAAAGTAATTAAAATTATGTCTGTGACAACAGTTTGTGAAGTCCCTGGGATATAAAAATGAACTCTTTGTAGAAATGAACAGTCTTGTAAGAAAGAGACACAGCAAAAAAGAATAACAGACCCAGAGAGAAAATTACATTCATTTTCACAATTTGATTGATCTGAAATAACTGCTAACAATTATACACAGCCATTCTTCATTCCAAATGGCAGCAGAGGTACCGAGGTAAGCTTAGATACTTGGGATTCTTGGATGACTATTTGATCTACTCATAACTAAAAGACATTTCACATGCTGGACCATGGTATCTTGCAGTGTAAAGAAACTCACTAACAGAAAGGGAGCAGGGACAAACTAATTACAGGAGTTGTAGGAACTGAACAGCTGCACTGCTGGGATGGTCAAGATGATTTAACAGATATTTTCTTAAAGCACAGAATCACACAGACTATGCAGAGTTGGAAGGGACTCACAAGGATCACTGAGTTCAACCCTTAGCCCTGTACAGGACCATCCTCAAGAGTCACACCATGTGCCTGAGAGTATTGTCAAATGCTCCTTGAACTCTGTCAGGCTTGGTGCTGTGATCACTTCCCTAGGGAGCCTGTTCGAGCACCCAACCACCCTTTGGGTGAAAAACCTTTTTTTAAAATCTAACCTAAACCTCCCCTAACACAACTTCAGGCCATTCCCTCAGGTCCTGTCACTGGTCACCACAGAGAAGAGATCAGTGCCTGCCCCTCATCTTCCTCTCACAAGGAAGTTGTAGACTGCAATGAGGTTTCCCCTTAGTCTCCTCCAGGCTGAACTGACCAAATTCCCTCAGCTGATCCTCACATGGCTTCCCCTTGAGGCCCTTCACCATCTTTGTTTCCCTCCCTTGGATGTTCTCCAATAGCTTCATATCTTTCTTATATTGCGATGCCCAAAACTGCACACAATACTTAAGGTGACGTCGCCCCTGTGCAGAGCAGAGCAGGACAATCCCCTCCCTGGACTGGCTGGCCATGCTTTGCCTGATGCCACCCAGGACACAGTTGGCCCTCCTGGGTGCCAGGGCACTGCTGACTCGTATTCAATTTGCCATCGACCAGGACCCTCAGTTCCCCGGCACTGTTTTCCGGCATCTCATTCCATGTCTGTATGTACATCTTAGGTTGCCCCATCCCAAGTGCAGAATCCAGCACTTCCCCTTGAACTTGCTATGGTTGGTGATTGCCCAGTCCTCTAATTTGTCCAGGTATCTCTGCAGGCCCTCCCTGCCTTCAAGGGAGTCAACAGCTCCTTTCAGTTTTGGGTCATCTGCAAACTTAGTATCCCTTCCAGTCCTGTGTCCAAGTCATTTAGGAAGATGTTGAAGAGCACAGGGCCTGACATGGAGCCCTGTGGAACCCCACTAGTGACAAGTCACCACTCTGATGTTCCCCATTCGCTATTACCCTCTGTGCTCGACCCGTGAGCCAATTGCTCACCCACCACATGATGTGTTTATCCAGCTGTGTGCTGGACATTTTGTCCAGAAGGATCCTGTGAGAGACAGTATTGAAAGCTTTACTGTAATCCAAAAAGATTACATCAACTGGCTTCCCTTGAACAACTAGGTGGGTTACCTTGTCATAGAAGGAAATCAGGTTTGATAAACAGGACATTCCTCTCAAGAAGCCGTGCTGGTTGTGACCCATTACTGTGTTGTCTTTCAGGTGTTTTTCAATACTTCCCAGAATAATCTTCTCTATAACTTTTCCAGGCATTGAAATGAGACTGACAGGACTGTGCTTTCTATGGTCCTCCTTCTTGCCCTTCTTGAAAATCAGGACAATGTTCACCGGTTTCCAGTCAGCTGGAACCTCTCTATAGTCTCAAGACTGCTCAAAAATCATTGAGAGAGGTTTTGCAATGACATCAAAGAGCTCTTTGAGGATTTTGGGATGAATCCCATCAGGCCCCATAGATTTGCAGGGAGCCAGCTGAAGCAGCAGATCCCTCACAATTTCAGGGTCAACTGGGAGTCATGGTCCTCCAGCTCAGGGCACTGAGACCCCCTTGGCTGATCATCCGTGTTGAAGACAGAGGCAAAGAAAGCATAAAACACCTCTGCCTTGTTTCTGTCCCTGTTTGTGAGATGACCATCCTCATCCTGTAATGGGCTAATGATATTTCTATACTGTCTACTGCCATTAATATATCTGAGAAAACTCTTTTTACTGTCTCCCACATTTCTGGCCAGCTTCAACTCCGGCTGAGCTTTGGCCACACGAATTTTCTCCCTATACAGCAAGTAACATCTCTGTATTCTTCCCATGTCACTTGACCTTGCTCCCACTGAGCATACACCTTTCTTTTTTACCTTTTCTCCAAGAGAAGATTCCTGTTCAGCCAAACCAGCCTTCTGCCTCACCTGCTTGACTTCTAGCATTTGGGAATCACCTGCTCTGGTGCCCTTAGGAGGTATGTTTGAAAGGTGACCAGCAGTGATGGACTCCAGCACCTGCAAAAATATTTTCCCAGGGGAAAATATTACTTACTAATTCCCTGAACGGCCTGAAGTCTGCTTTCCTCATGTTCAGAGTTGAGGCTTTGCTGGCACTTTTACTCCTGTCAACAGAGATTTTAAACTCAATCACTTCATGATCGCTGTGGCCAAGACAGCCACCAATCTCCACTATGCTCGCAAGATCCTCTCTGTTAACAAGCAGCAGATCAAGGAGAGCACCTTTCTGAGTCAGCTCCCTTAGGATCTGTTCCATAAAGTTCTCATCCAGGTGTTTTAGGAATCTTCTGGCCCAGGTTGTCCCAGCTATGTGATGCTCCCAATTAATATCTGGCAAGTTGAAGTCCCCAACAAGGACAAGGGCAGTTGACTTGGAAGTGTCCTTTAGTTCCTCAAAGAATAAGTCATTGGCGACATTGTCCTAGCTGGGATGTCTATAGCAGACTCCCACAGTGACATCTATATTATTTGTTTGCTGCTTGATTCTTACCCAGAGGCTCTCAACTATGCCATTGCCAACTGTGAACTCCATACATTCTAACCCTTCTATTACGTAAAGTGCCACCCTTCTGCCTATTCTGCCCTGTCTGTCCCTCCTGAAGGGCCTGTAACCATCAAACAGGGCAATCCAGTCACAGGTCTCATCCCACAAAGTCTCACTTATGCCAATCTCTGGGACTGGGCCAAAGCTTTGAGCTCCTATTGTTAGTTCCCCATGCGATGTGCATTGGTGTAGAAGCATTTCAGATGTGATACATTGTAGCCAATACCTAGTGAAGCAGATTGATGGATCCCATTAGTGCTCCTTTCCTAAAGTTTTGGCACACCATCCCATTGCTCATCACTGGTGAGACTGGTTTTGTCCCTTTCCCCTTCCAAGCTACTTTAAAGCTCTGTCAACAAGCCTCGCTAGATCCTGTACTAGAACTCTTTTTCCTCGCTGAGATAGGTGCATCCTATCAGGTGTCAGCAGACCAGATGTGGAGTAGACCATCCCGTTTTGGGTCAAAAACACCAACATTTTTCAAATTAGACCAGCCTCAGAGCTGCTCATTGACCTGATGGATCTGCCTTTTCTTACCAATATTATTGCTTGTTATGAGAAGAATACAGGAAAACGCTACCTGTGCTCTGATCCCTCTACCAATCATCCCAGGGCCCTGAGGTCTCTTTTGATTGCCCTTGACTTTTCTTTGTTATTCCGTTGCTACCAGTTTGAACAACCAATAGTTGTTCAGATAGTAGTCAGAGGGCCTTACTAGACTCGAGAGTTTTGCAGTAATGTCCCTTTCCCGAGCCCCTGTGAATCAACAGACTTCTCTGTGAGTTGGGTCTGGTCTGCATATCGGGCCCTCCAATTCCCTTTGAAGGGAGATTTTTGTTACAATTACCCTTCTTTTCCTGTTAACAGAGGAGGTCTTGATGCAGGGCACAAGTGGTGTTGTTTTAGGCGGCCCCACTACCCTAGAAGGACCTTTGTCCACCTCATCAATTGTCTGGTCTTCTTGTTCCAGAGCCTCATACATGTTGGAGAAGCTACCAGTCCTACCTGTCAAATTTTGAGAAGAAGGAGGAACCTTCCTCCTGGTACATGCAGTGACCAGCTTCCAGCCTTCATCTTTAACAGACCCTCGACTAAGATTTCTTTGACTAATTTCCCTGTAGGGTTCTGTCTCCACCTGCTTCTCCACTACAGTGTAGGTTTGAGACTCTCAAGAGTCGTGAGACTGCACCATCTCTGAAAATAATCTGTGTATCTCTTTCTCATTCGCTTGAATACTATGTAGCCTGTTCACACCTTCCCATAGCTCCTTCCCCTGATGACACAGCTCTTCAGCCACAACACACCTGCAAAATAACTGTCAGTCCCAGCCTCACAGAGAGTCATCAGGCATTCCTGGCAAGTATTTGCCATTATCCTTCAAAGTTAACATACAATTTTACTTTACTCTTAGAATGACCAAGTCATGTTTTCAGATACATCTGTGCTCAAAAAATAAATTTAAATGGAATCAAAAGCTGAGTTTTTATCAATTGCAAATGCAAATACTACCTTGTCTGTTGTGTTATATGTCAGGTGCCTGGTACCATTATCTCATGCAATTACTGCACTTGTTCATCAAAACCTAGTAGATAAATTTCTGCATTACTGTATAGCAATGTACCTTTCAGATTACAAAATCAAATAACTACAATTAAAAAAATTCTATATCATGGCTTTTTCATGAGTTTGGATGCTTTACATACATACAATATATTTCAGTCTTGCTTTCTGTGCTTATCAAAAATTTGTATTATAATTTTTTTTCAAACATAGCATACAGTATGCTACTTAAAAAACCGGTACATTTCACCTAAAAATGTGAAAGACATTTCACTAACAAAATACTATATTGAATTTGCTCTATGGAGAAGGACCTGGGGGTCCTGGTGGACAACAAACTCTCCAGAAGCCAGCAGTGTGCCCTTGTGGCCAAGAAGGCCAATAGTATCCTGGTGTGCATTAGGAAAAGCTGTGAAGGAGCAAGATTCAGGATAGGAACAGTTCCAGGCGTGGAGAAAAACATACAGCAATTAACAGGACTTTATTATATGGACTTTACAGTTATTATATGGACTTTACTGGTTTTATGTGGTTTCATTATATCCACACTACAAAGTGCATAGCCTGGGCTTGCTCGGGCTCGCCACGAGTTTGCCTGCTCCCTGCTCCTCCGCTCCCTTCTCTGATAGGCTGAAGAAGCTGCAGAGAGGAGACAGTTACCATTTGCCCTTTTCCTCCCCCTTTTGCCTGTGTCCCTACCCTGATTTGTTCCCCTGTTTGTCTGTCTCATGCTCCACCCCGTGTCCCGGCCCTTTCCCCACCTAAAACTCGTAAAACCCTGACACACCTCAATAAAGGATCCCATTTTGCACCTCTACCTTGTCCCCAAACCCATCCGTTCTGTGTCACGGCCCCATTCCTCTCCCTCCTCGGACCGTGGCAAAAAGCACTGCCAGCAGGTCAAGGGAGGTGATCCTGCCACTATACTCAGCCCTGGTGAGGCCACATCTGGAGTGCTGTGTCCAGTTCTGGGCTCCTCAATACAAGAGAGACATGGAGCTCCTGGAGTGGGTCCAGTGGAGGGCTAGAGATATGATTGTATTGGGTCTGGCTTACATGGAGTTAATTTTCCCCATAGCAGCCCTCACAGTGCTGTGCTTTGCACTAGTAGCTAGAAAGGTGTTGATAACACACCAGTGTTTTGGCTACTGCTGAGCAGTGCTTGGCACAGCGTAAGCACCATCTAGGCTGGGTGTGGGCAAGATCATGGGAGGAGATACAACAAGAACAGTGACCTAAATTGACCAAAAGGATATTCCATACCACATGAGGTCAGCTCAGATATAAAACCTAGGGGAAGGAGGAGGAAGGAGGGGAACATTTGTTATTTACAACGTTTGACTTGCAGTGCTGAAGCCCTGCTTCCTGGGAAGTGGCTGGATGTCACTTGCTTATGGGAAGTAGAGAATAATTTTTTTTTTTCTCCTTGCTTGTGTGCACACAGCCTTTCATTTTTGTTTCAGTAAAATGCCTTAAATTACTAGTCATTTTCCGTCTTATTTTCTTTCCTCTGTCCAGTTAAGAAGATGGAGTGATAAGGAGGTTTAGTGGGTACCTGACGTTCAGCCAAGGTTAGCCCATTACAATGATTAAGAGACTGAGGCATCTCTCTTACGAGGAAAGGCCAAGGGGGTTGAACCTGTTCAGTCTCAAGAAGAGACAACTGAGAGGGGATCTCGTCAGAGTCTATAAGTATCTGAAGAGAAGGTGTCAAAAGAATGGAGCCAGGCACTTCCTGGTGATACCAAGCCATAGGACAAGGGGCAACAGGCAGAAACCGATGCACAGGAAGTTCCATCTGAATATGAGGAAGAACTTCTTCAGGTGTACAGGTGACCACACACTGGAACAGATTGCCCAGAGTGGAGTCTCCCTCACTGAAGATATTCAAAAGCCATCTGGACACAACTGTGTACAATGTGCTTTAGAATGACCTTTCTTGAGCAAGGAGATTGGACCAGATGACCCACTGTGATCCCTTCCAACATTACCTATTCTGTGATTTTGTGATTTATCTTCTGAATTTAATGATTTTTCTAGCCCTAAGATATCTCTTTATAGTGGGGATGAGTTTTTCTACTGTAGTTTTCACCTTGTATCACAGCATTCAATTCAGTCTTTCTAGAATAGTAGCAAGAGCTTTTCAAAGAGGGAGAATTTTGGTTTTCTCCCTGTATAGTAAAACTTTTATTAAAAGGAAAAGAAAAAAAAATTCCACCACACACACATAGGATGGGTAGAGTGAGTGCAAATGTTCTGATTAAGCAATAGGATGTTAAGAGGTAAACCAATTAGCAGGTAATCCTAGATGCTTCAAGACCCTTCTTTCAGTGTCTTTGTTCTTTTTTGCTTATAAATAGCAAATATACATTATCAAGTGAAAGTATAAACAAGCAAACTTGAAATAAAATTAATATCTTGCTTATTCTTCTTTCCAAAATGTTCTTTATCCCAGGAAAAAAATAAATTGGTATATTAAGTATCAGTATATGAAATATTAAATATCTGGTAAAATTGTGGGATAAAAAGGTTATGTCACGACAAAAGGAAGATAGATACCTGACTATTATTAAAACAGAAAAGATATCTGAGAGGCAAGGGCACATCCAGAAGTATTCGTGAGCAGCAAAAATCATCAGTGAAAGGTGAAAAACTTTTCAAATGTTCATGGTTATGAAAAAGGTTTGAGATTTGAAAAGTCATGAATCTGATGAATTAAATGAAAGGATCTGGTAATTCTTCTTCTGACATAAAATCCTGAGTCAAGGAAGCAGATTTACTGGTGATGAACATTTTGTTGCTCTTGTTTTATTCTTCAGCTTCCAGATCCTATTAAAAATAGTGAGTTTTACTATAACTACTCATCTAATTTTTTTCAGTCCATGGTAGTTGTGCATTACCTTCTTAATGCAGTTAAACATAAAAAAATAAAAATAAAAAAGCTAGATGCCTCTTTTTTTCAACACTCCTTGCTACTGCCTGTTCCTGGGAGAATTCCTCCCTATTGGCTGTCCAGTTCAATCATGTCTTAATTCCTTACCTTGGGTGTCATGGTTTGTTTTCCTCAAGCTTGCTTATCTTATTAATGACTTCCCTGTTTATAGAAAGGTACAGCTAAGCCACAAAATGCAGTCTCTCCTGAAAAGCCAGAGATTTACCAATTGAGCAAGGCTTTCAGAGTACAGAAGGCACAACCTCCTGAACCCAGGGAGTGTGCTGAATTGGAGCCTGCATTGGAGTGAGCCTGTACTGGAGTGAGCCTGTGAGCCTGTACTGGAGTGCTGCT